TATTAAAAAAAAAAAAAAAAAAAAATAGTAATTTTTTTTAAATTTAATTTTCTTTTTCTACTTAACCTCTACAATGAGGCGGATAAAGAAAAATGATCAAATTATGGCTGTAATAATCAGCTGGGTTTTTTTTTAAAAAGCAGATGTTTTTTCCTTTTCATTTTTCTTTTTTTTTTTTTTTTTCTGTAGATCCATCAAGTAAATTTTTCATTTGTTGCTCTTGGAATTTTTTTATGTGTAAATATTCGATCACATAACAATGCTTTGTGCACAAAATGCTGAAAGTGTTTGGATGTTATTGGTAAAGCGCTAATTTTGGTTCGATGGATGACGATTGTCAATTGTGTTATCGACGGTTGGGAATTCGTCTGTTCTGCAGGTGTTATTCAGACCTATTGAAGATTTCCGGAACTTTATTTTTGAAACCACTTAGTTTTTCCTCGCTTATTTTCAGTTGTTTGGACAACGGTGTTATCAATATTGTTGTTGCTTTTACAGTTTGGGTACTGCGGGGTTTGGTTTATTTGTTGAACAGTTTGTAAAGAAAAAAAAATCAGACTGGTGCTGAAAAAACCTAAATTAAAAGTTTTTAGCACGTAAACTGTCTGTGGCTTCCAATTAGGTCAAAAATAAGGTTATACTGCTGTAACAACAGAGAGTTCCTGAAATACTCTCTTCATCTTGTTTTTTCTTTCTGTTGCAATTAGCAACTGATCAGTGAAAGTCATCGACGACATTTGAAAACTGATTTTAGTAAAATTATAAGTGAAAGTTGTTGATTTACCAGTGTATTGTGTTTATTTTTAGCGGAATATTTATATAAATGCGAGAGGGGCTAAATACAAAATTGGATTTTTGGGCTTTTTGGTATGATTTTTCAATTTTTCAACAGTTACAGTAGTGCACTTCAGTTGGACAACACAAATTTTGGTTCAGTGAAATTTAAGCGTTTGATCATTGCATTTTCTATTCTGATACTACTGGCGGGCTAAAAATGAAATGATACTTTTTTATCACCTCAAAATTTTCCTGGTGCTCATATGTATACTTTTTTTTCAAGTCACTGTCGTTTCTCTTGTTAGGAATATTTTAAATGACTTTGGGTTATTTTATTCATTTATTTTTTTTACGCAATTTTTTTCGTTTCACTCTAGTTTGATATATTATTTTTTTTGTACATACGTATAATATACTGCAGCTAAAATGAATACCTGGTCGAAGGGAAAAACTAAGTGTTGACTGTTGAAATCCTAATTGAGTAGCCTCTTCAAAAAAAAAATTTTCTCTGTTCCTTCTTTTTTGCCTTTGCATGTTGATACTGTTTTTTAAGCATTGAACCTATACAACTATTTATATGAATAGTTAATTTCATCCAGTTTTTTGTTCGTTTCCTTTCCCCTTTACCGCTTCTATCGTTTTAGCCTGCTGTTTCATTTAGTAGTGCCGTTAGCTTTTCATGCTAAAAATTGCGTTAGTGACGTACTGATTATTCTGTTTTTGCAACACAAGTTTTTTTCTCTCGTTGCTGCTATAAAAGAATATCGTTTGAAAAAAAAAAAGTTATAGCAGCAGCAAGAAGGAATTGGCACACCAAACCAGTGGAACCCTTATGAACACTTACCGTCCTGTTTCAGAAGCCTCTACGTCCCCGGGTCTTCTACGTGACCTCTGTTACAGGGTAATTTTACCCGTCGGAAAGCAAAAACCAAGCCAAAAAAATACCAAAAACCAATCGGTAAACAACAATGGCACAGGCGGAAGTGGTCACCGTGCGAATGTCGCGCGGTAACACGGAGACGCCATGGGGTTTTGACATTATACCACCGGTACAGATCAGTAATGTAAGTTGCAACTATTTTTTCCATTTCCTTTTTTGTTTCCTTCATTCTTTAAAGCCATTTCAAAAACTATTGTATTTTGTGCACCTGTTCAACTGAGACAAATTTGATTGCGCATAATACGTGGGACGGATAAGCGCTGCAAGATCTAAAGCTACTAAAGTCACACCTAATTCATGTCTCTTTAAGCAATATATATATACAATGAAAGCTTGGGCGCGTACTTTTTTTTGTTCCTCTATTGTCTCTTTAAAGCTGTAATACCACTAATAGTGAAGGGAGAGGAGTTGGAGATTAAGTGCTGAAATATTTGGACTAGCGTTATTTTTACAAGTTTTTTTTATATGCTTATTTACTGAAACTGAAGAAGATTTCCTAATTGTGGTTGCTGTGGTTATATTTTGGTAATGTTGTTGTTCACCGCTGCGAAAAGCAGATGCTGCTGTCTTTATGTAATGCATATGCTAAGTGTTGTGTTCGTAAAAGCTTATTTACCTCGCTTGGATTAGTTTTTTCAGTGGTTTGCCAGATAATTATGACATGAGGATTATGGTGGTTGTAATAGTGCAAGATAATAAAGTTCAAAAAAAAAAAAAAAAAAAATGAAAGTTAACTAGTTTTCTCATTTTTTTTTGTTGTTTTTTTAACTTAATTAGTTTGCTGTCATTATTGTCATCCTAATAAATCACTGTGTCTTGTATCTTTTTGGTGTATCGCTTCTTTAACAAATCGCTTCTTTCTCTGCCTTTGGTCAATACTGCTTACTTCAATATTTACTTTCAATTCTATTAAGCAGGGAATAAACTAAAGCAGTGTCTATAACAATTTGTTGCAAGCAAAATTTCTACCAAAAAAAAAAACAGGACAGCCTAGAAATAATGTCAGTTGCTCTTACTAAACTACCCTCAAAGCGAAGTACAACTTTTGTCGCCGGCATTAAATTTCAGGTTAAGCATCTATCATCTTAACTTTTATCGTTCTTCCTTCTTTTCATAAAATCCTCCCACCACGTCTGGGGGAAAAAGGCGTTATCGTTCACCTTCAAAATCACTATGAGAGACAAATGAAGTTGGTAGAGGCTTTTTTTTGTGCGGTTGAAAATCTGTCTGCAAAATGATATTTTTGCTAAATGTCAGCAGCTTAACTTTCGAGTTGGTATGCAATAAAATTTTTTCTATTAAATTGTTTGGCATTACTTTTGCGCGCTTTTACGTTTATTTCGTTGAGCTAACTAAAAATGAATAATTATTTTGTTTTTCTTTTCTGTTCGGACATTTATTTGCTTAATCTTATTCTTCTGCCAAATTCGTGCAGTATTAAAAAAAAATAAAATCTATATTCTGTACGTTGATGTCGACAGGCGTATTATTCTACATTAATAGAAGTATTAATAGAACCTGTTATTCGCTGATTTTACAACAATATTGACTAAAAACCTTGAAAATGGCTTTTTGATATTAAACTTGGAAAATAAAAACTGTTTTGTTCTTCCTGTTATTTTTGGATATTAGAAAGAAAGAAGCCGTACCTAATAGCAGCAAAAAAGGCGTACATTTATCTTGCAAAATTCACATAATTACCGGAAAATAAATGTTATTTTACTCAGGATGGAAAGGGAAAAAGGAAAGAAACATATTAGTAATTAAAATTATAAAAGAGGAAAGGGATTGGAAACAATGATAAAAGGTAAGGATGGAGCTGATTAAAAAAAGTAGTGTTTAGAATTATTTTACTTGGAAGGATTTTGAGGCTTCACTTACGATGTTTCATGAACAAATAAAAAGTGCTTTGTTACTGGTTCTGTCTTTGAAATTTTCTATATAAAAAAAACTTTAATTTATTCTTAAACAGTCATTTACAGTCATTTTTTTTTTATAACCTTTATTTAAGAATGGTTCGGGAAATGCCGCACTGTTCTGTTTTTTTTAACACTTACTTTTCGAAATATTTTCGACTGCTACAGAAAACCTGCTCAGGTCATTGGAGGTTCACTAGCAGACCGAGCGGGTCTGCTCAATGGCGATAATTTGGTGGAACTTGAGGGTTACGAAAAACCGGACTACCACCTTGCCAAACAACTCCTCGCCAAAGCTGAACACAAAATTGAACTTGTTGTTCACAGGTAATTTAATGTTTGTTCTCTTAGTTAAACAGTTAATGCTTAAACTGTTAGTCACCAATAGGAAATAGAAAGTTTTTTTGTTAAAGGTAATTGGCGAATGAGCCGTGATAAGCAAAATATTTGGAATTGACCGATTTAAAAGTCCGGAACATGAGCTCCGGAATCATTTTAAAGTGTAAAACTGGCTTTTTTGACTGTCGTCAGTAAAAACAGTTTTGCTTATCAAATATATCATTATAAGAAAGAAATTCTTTTTTGTAATTTTTGTAGTTGGCTGAAAATTTTTAGTTCTCACGGAACTTTTGCATGTTTCATCTCACTTAATTGAAATGAAAGTCATACTAGCCATTTTCCTCAACAGAATATTTATTCAAAAAGATTAAGTTTTTTTTTGTATAATATGTCTATAAACATATGTATTTCGCACAAAACAGACTAATATATTTCTTATAGCGGTGTCATAATGTTGATTTTTATCAGTTCGGTTGCTTTGCGCTGATGATTAATTGTGGCTATTAGACCCCAAAAGCGTACTTTGCAACACTGGCTTAATAAATTTAGCTGTAGAAAAGGATAGAACGAACTAAGAACAGAAAATGATGATTAAGAATAAAAAAGAAGAATGAAGGAGTAGAGAGGGAAATCGAAAAAATAATAAGGTATGGTACCAGTTGAAAATTGTGAAAAAAGTTTTACAGTGTCTTGTTTTGGTTGGTGGATTAATGACATCCAATTGATAGTCAAGTAAATTAATATCTTTTTTGAAATTTATGCGTTTATTTGAATAAATTTGTTGCTGAATGAAACTTGAAATATTTTTCGCTACTAACGGATTCCAAAGAGCTACTGCTGTACGGTTAATGAGTATGCAGTAAGGAATCTAAACAGTCTGTTTTATACAGTTTCTTCATCGCCTCGGCATAATTTTTGCTGTTACTTCAGTTTGAGATGCATGTAAGATGCTGCATCAACACATTGTAACACTTATGCCGGTTATCTTTTGTCAAAAAGCTGGCTAGAAACTACAAAGGATTTTAGGGAGTTCTCTTCCGTTATTCAGTTAGGACAGTGTTGGTTTTTTAACTTTATTTAACCAGTACAGTCAGTTTGTTAATCGCAGTGTTCTTTCTACTATCCTGGTAAACAAGTAAAGTGCAAAGCAAATTACACCAATAGGTAGAATTATTTATTTGTTTAACTGTCAGCTGAGAAATACCCAAGTTTATTTATGCTAAAAAAACACTGAACATCCGGTTGGCAAATTAATTGAAAAAGTAATAAAAATAAGTGATTGGGAAATTGGAAAACTGGTATGAGGAGGATTTCAAAAATTAAGGAAGAAGCTCGGAATTGAGAAGTGTCAAAGATTCAGAGCAAAGTAAAACCTGAAGAAACAAATTGGCCACATGGTCATTGCAGTTGCTTACTACTAATAAATCAATATCTCCAGCCAGAAGAAAAAGGACAGTAAAATCTGACTGAGTGCGAAATTTTAATCGCTGGCCGCTAAATCATAAAAGTTTATTTTGAAAGTTAAAGTAAAATAACTTAAACTTTTAAATCTTATAAAACCTTTAAAAATGTTCGGAAATTGCCAAACTACAGAATTTGAAATAGATTGGCAATTAAGGTAGATCAACTGAAGCTTCACAGTCGTTTCATCAAAGTTAAAGTTAATATCTCTAAAATGATATGAGACTTTTAAAGAACAAAAGAAAGTTGGTGAATCTAAACAAAACCGGGAAAAAGCAATGGAAATTGCTTTTGAAGTCAAATCGTACAAATTTCAAGATTACCATGATCACCTCCTCTCTATATTTTGAACAGGAAAGCTTGCTTTCGAATTTGCAACGCTGAATTTCTCTTTCAGATTTTACCTCTCGTATAATAGCTCTTTATCTTTTCATGCTAGATATAATCTAGGTTGCAGGATTACACGACTCGAAGTATTTTTGATGAAATCAAATAGCCCAACAACTGTTTGAAAAGAATTTACCATCTGACAACATGTTTCCATTCGCATTTACTTTAAAAAAAATCGTCAAACCAATATCGATTTTTTCTTTTAATATCAATTAAAAAAATAATGAATTTTGTTAGAATATATGTTTTACAGCAGTTTTTTCTTCGAAATGTAAAAATTAAACTGACTGATGGACGGTAAACCCGATGGCGTGATAAAAATTTCAATGGTACAATAGAACTAATTAATTTAAAAGATCCTCTTTTTGGTGTCGATTTAGAAGTTGCAATTTTTTACACATTCATAAGTCCGTGATAAGAAACTGACTTTTAACTATACAAACACTTCGACTAGTTTTCTAACTGTCTTTACTAAACCGTTTCCAATGCAAGCAGAGACTTCCATTTTTCGTAGAAATTCTTGAAAATAAATGTAAATTTTTTTAAAATGAAGAACAAAAGATTGTTATTTTAGAATTTGCTTCAAATTGCAGAGTCTAATTAATATTTGTAACTTTCAAAAAGCTTTTGATACAGTTGTATCTGAATTATTTTAGGGGGGTTTTAGCATCTTTTATTAGCATCTGGAAAAAAAAAAAAGCATTTTAAAATGCAGTTCTTTGAAGAAGGTCGCATGTAGCAGAAAATTAAGAAACCTTTTAAGTTAAGAAGTACCTCAATTTTCAACAAAACAGGTTGAAGGAATTAAGTTTTAATTTTATAAGTTTGAAACCAAGGTTTACAACGCATTATACACATATTTAAGAAGTTGGTTCTCGTATTTTATCTATTTAACGTGATACCTCCCTGCAGTAAACAGAAATTTCTTTCACTTTATACTCTGTTAAAGTATAGAGAATTTTTGGAGAATTTTATGTGTTACCAAAAACTGTCAGTTTTGCAAGAGAAAAATTTTTGTCGCGTAACGCAGAAGAAACTGCTTTTATTAATTTTAGAATCACTGCTCAACATTAGAGTATTTGTCCGCTCGAAGTTTCTAACAAAGACATCGTGCAGAAGCTTTCTCTAGCGTTACATTTAAATTTGGTAAAAAATGGCCATTTCGGTTCTATTAAAACCATTTGAAGACACATTAACTAAACTTTCGATAATGGAAGATTTTTGAAAACAATATAGATAATATTTAAGAAGAGTTCCCGATAGCGTTTACTTGTTTAGAGATGTCGGACACAGTGTACGAATATGGAAACCGTCGGTTACAGATAACACGGAGTTTAGCCGATTTCAGCACTCTGTACACAATGTGACATCTGAAAGCAAAAATAAGACTCAAGGTCCACCTCCTCCACCTCCTCCTCCTGGTGCTTCACCTGTAAAGGTGTCACTAGAACATCATCCTCAGGTACTCTTGTGGCTTCACATAAATACATATTAAAATTATAAAAAAGTTTTATGTAATATAGCTGCAAAACTCATCTATTGTTACTGCAGAAAATCGCATAAGCATCTTCTTTACTTTTAATTTTCTCACATTAATTCGTTTTTTATGACTGTATTTTTTTGTTATTTTGAACGTGCATTCTCTGATGCAGAAAATATTCTAAATTTGTAAAATAGTAGTTTCTTTTTTGCTTTTCTAATACTTCTTGAGTAGTGAAAAAAGCATAAGAATGACGTCTGGAAAGAGCCCAAATTTGATTGTCGAGCACTATATCTGCTGAGCTCGCAGTTATTTAGGAAGAAAAATTTTTGATTACCTATAAAAAACACTTTTTGAAAATTATTTTTTAAATACTACAGATTATTAGTTTAGCAAAAATTTTGTAGCTTACCTGTGGAATATTCAGCTAAAAAGAAAATTTAGAATAAGATTGCCTCTGAGCTAAACTGTTTTATCGGGAATGGTAATCGTAGATTATCACTCTTTGAAAAATCTTTAAGGAACTGTCACTAATGTATTAAAGTAAAATACGAATCGGCAGATTGAAAGAAGTGAAATGTTAACTAAATATACAAATTGGGAAATAAAAAATAAAAATGACATTTTTGAAACGCTGTCGTAGCGTCATCACCGGCGATTTCTGCTATTGTACTAAATATTTATTTAGCTTGACGTTCTTATAAGAAAACGTATCTTTTCAAAACTTTTTTCAACAATTATGCACATTAAATAATTGAAATCGATTTTAGCTGTTAGCTTAGTAATTTATTTGTTTGCTGTTATATCTTTTATTTACTGCTTAAATTTAGTCGATTAACGGCGACGAATAATTAGTGCCTTTAAAGTAATATTTGAAAAAATTTTTTTATCAAATAATAGAATCAAAAGTTTTTTTCCTAAAAAGAGGAATAAAACAAAGTTTTTTGAAGTCAAGGAAAATTTAATACAAGCGATTTTAATTAGTCTATTAAATGTTTTCTGTACCAGTGTTTATATTTTTAGACTGAGAACAAAGTGTGCTGAAGGTTTCTTAGGTACAAAGAAATATTCTTTTTTTTGCTTTGTGCTACATTTCTTGGCTTTTTGCTGATAGAATTTTCTTTTCCCAGCTTTGATTTCTACGTTTTTCTTATTTAAATTGCTCAGCTGTTTCATGGCTTCAGAAAATTGTAGAATTTTTTATTGTAAACATTGATAAAGTTTATATAGTCATATCAGCAATAATATAATTCCACGAGTAACATTAGGTTGTGAGCTCAACAGCTGACAACAATTTTTCAGCAAAAAATTTTGACAGATTTTTGGAATTTGCAATAGTTATACCGTTAACACTTTCCTATAGCTTTTTAGACTTTTATTTGACATTAAAAAATAATTGCTTTTTTATACGTTTCATTCGTCAACAGCACAAACATCAATACAACATTTATAAGATGTTCCCAAAACGTGTTTATTTAGGTAAATTTTTTTTCAGTGTTTGGCTCAGAGATTGGTCGTATTAGTGAACTAAACGAAAGTAATCATCAAAACAAATCGTTAAAAAAAAAGTCGTAAATTCTTGTTTTCTAATTTTTGATCTCATTGTTCTTTAGAATTCTGTTTTTTGTGGACGAATTATAAACATTATTTTGTTGGGAAGGATTAATTTTTGTAATGAATGCTGTAGGAACAATTGTGGAATGAGTTTTGAATGTTTTCTTCCGAGAAAGCCATCAACAGAGCAAACGATGGCACTATGCGATCATTTCTTTCTCACTTGTTACAGTCCTTAAATTGACCGCAAAGTTCAATTTAAAAGTTGCATAAAAATTTTGTAGTCAGTAATTAATGTAACTAACCGGTAAAGCTGCTGAGGTTCCAGGCCGGAATCAACATCCCAGGTTTCAATGTAAAAGCTCAACCATATGGCACTCGACAAGAAGTTAAACACTTGCAGTATAACTCGCCAATGCCGCTGTATTCGCCGCAGTCGGCAGCCGAGCAATATTTACAACAAACTGGCGGACTTTTTGGAACGGAGTAAGTGAATTTTCTGTTGACAACAACTGGGAAAGCCACTTAGTTTTCGTTATTTGCGTACATCAGCTACCAGCCTCACTCTTATACGCTTCTAAAAAATCTTTCTCAAGCACTTTTGTGGCCGCTTTAAGTGATTTTCACAACACTGTCATCTTCTACAGTCCTGCATCCCCTAAGTGTTACTTTTTTTTGTTCAAACAAATTTGAAAATTCAGCCACCATTCTCATATGCCGTTCCTGCTTTATCTGAGATCATCGTTTTCTCATCCAATCCATCCAGGTGTACT